AAAAAAAGCTCTTTTTTTTATCTATTTTTTTTCCAATCATCAAAACTACAAATCATAAATTCATATTTTTCTGTTTCATGCAAAACATCTATAAGGGGCTTCCAGTCAACAGTAAACACAGATATTGTCTTTTCTCTAATCAGGGAAGTCAGTTTAGCCATTTCTGCAAGTTCTAACATCTTCACTAACCATTCCTCCATTAAGGGTACTGCCAAATCTTTCTACTTTTGAGCATACAGTAATCTCGCTGCAGTTCCTGGGTAATTAAAGTTGTCTAAATAATTTGAACTAACCAGGTTATTTTATATGTTCATGTTTCAAAAATCTCTGCAAATTGGAAATAACCATTTTAAAATATGACAACTGTAACATGCTACACAGAGAACATTATTCAGATATTTATCAATGTGACTGATTTCTTGATTTTATCCATGCCCCATTTAAACTACTGGTATTAGCGGTTAGAGTCTAAATAAAAAATGCACTTTTTTCTATTTTTGCCTTGGGATCCATGCTTTTTAAGAGCACATAATTAACAACAGCAACAACAATTTATTAAATTTATATGCTACCCAACTCCCAGAAACTCTGATTGATAACTGATCTGGAATGTTTGTCAACTGTATGCCCTGTTCACGCAGCTTGCTTAACTGGGTCAGTGGAGGGAAGTACTGTGTTGTGGGACACCAAAAAGAGGTCAGTTGTACCATTTAATTAACCCCAAGGGGTTAAAATTAGCTCTAAACAGTAGGGTTGGACCCAGTATCCATTAAAGGCTCCTCTGAGGCAAGCTTGATCTTCCTTCCTCAGCTCCTGGTGCTCTTACTCACAAGGTGCCTGCAATCCCTCTGGGTCCTGCAGGCTTCCTCGTGAGGAGCTGCCTTTCACAGCACACGTGGGTGATCTCTTCAGCTTCTCTTTATCCAGACAAGCTCCGCTGGTCCAGGCTCATTGCCTGGTCACAGTTCCTGGCCTCAGGGTCATCTCCATGTTTTTGGACACGTGTCAGTCCTCCATTTTTTCCACTGGAAGAATAGCTGAAAAAGCAAGCCCCTTCATTGCAGAATTCACTGTCACCTTAGGACAGCACAGAATACTCCACCAAAACACAGACTGAGTGTAGCAGCCAAACCACATCTTTGCCGCTCATTTAATGGGAAAACAGCTAGTGATACCATAAAGCTTTACTAATAATTTCCTAGTGCAAATGCTCAATGGATAAAAGCACTCCCTGGAAAAAAAGTGGGTATGATAAAGTAACTCCAAAACTGACTTGTGATCCAATTGGTGTGACTATGATAATGAGATCTGAATAGATCACTGGCTGAGAATCACCTAAAAATATATTAGCTTGCTTCCTAGAGCCCATCAATAAAAAATTAGATGCAACTCTCTCTCTTGTTCTGGGGACAAGGTTTATATAAGTTGCATCAGTTTAATGTCTCTAGTAAATTACAGAGAATTGGGAAGGGGAACATAATTGTCCTTTAACTCTATATATGTCATTGTCTTATCTATGCTGTTTAAATATAGTTAAGAATAATTAGAAAAGGTACATATTTTAACCTGATTAAGTATTTATTTTTCACTACACTAAGCAGTTTGTCATTTGCAAAACACAGCTTAAGAAGCTTCTATTACAGATTGTTAATTTAGGTGAACAATATCAACAGTGTGACTTGTAGACAGATAATGCAGAACCAGTGAATGTATGAAGTCTGCAGAAAATGAAACAAATGTATTTTATTTTTTATAGAACTAGGTCACCAGCAGAATCACTTTTTGCCATTTCAAACATGGCCTTCCTTTCATCAATGTGACAACATATACTACACTAAACTATTACCACTTGAAATTAGGTACATAATCAGTTCAGCATAATATGTACTAATGAAATTAGATCACGCTCCTCTGAAGCACTATTGATCACATATTCTGAACTCTCCCCTGAAATTACAGTGCAACTCTAGAACACAAAGTATGTGCTCAGAAATTTAAGATCAAATCTGGATATCATACACTGTTTTTCACATTTACAAAATCTATGCATTGAATCTAACACCATACTTGAGAATAAATTGCAATTTTTGAGTGCAATCTTCTCTGACTTGACAGAGGTCAAAGCAAGTCATAAATTGATACTTTAAAACAAAGTCAGCAGTAAAACTTGTTTCTCTCACCACTAAAAAAAAAAAAAGCAAGCCTGTTGACGAAGCATTTTCTACCCCTGTATTTTGTATGATACAAAAATTATACTCCAACACCGCCTTAACAGTGAGGTGTACCCAAGGGTCCCTTCTCTGGCACAGTAAGTGTTCAGAAAGGAGTGCAACAGGGATGTATTCTTGCCCCCTCTCTTTTTAACTTATACATCAATTGTGGACCTTCTTTCATAACTGGGACTTCTATGTTCCTAAGCGAGCAGGGCACAAAATCCCTATACTTCTCTATGTTGATGATGCTGCAATAATTTCACAAACCCTGAAAGGGTTGAAAAGAGCAATGGCAGCAATATTTTGGTACTGCAAACAAAAATCAACTGGTTCCTAATTTTGAAAAATCTAATATTCTGGTCTTTGCTAACAGAAGCAGTCAACAATCCTGGACAGTAGAAGGGCATAAAATAGAGGAGGTTACTGCATTTAAATACCATGGGATGGTTTTCTACTTTAAAGGCACCTAGAATGAACTCCAGAATCATGTAGTGATTAGATCTTCAAGTGCTATAAAGCGCTTCTTCTACACAAGCAGAGGCCAGTGGATTCCTGCAGCATTAAAACTTTTTGAGGTCAAATAATTGGGCCAAATCCTTTATGATGCCCAAGTGGGAATTTACAGTGGGGCAAAAAAGTATTTAGTCAGCCACCAATTGTGCAGGTTCTCCCACTTA